CCCCAAAACCCCAAAACCCCAAAACCCCACACCTCTGAATTTATATTGGAAATAAATTTAGTATATATTAATAAATGGAGTGTCAATCCCAACGGATGAATAAAGACAATATTGAAGCCCTGAAGTGAGTTCAATCCAAGATATAGGGATATTAATTGGGTCAAGTTCATAATAATCCCTTAACTATTTTACTGACTATATTACTTGAGTCCTTCTCAAGGAAACCTTTGGTGTTTGAGTTTAATTTAAATTGAATCTTTTGGATTGTGTGACAAGCTAAATTGCAAATTTTATTTACCCTTCAGATCCTTAATGAAACCCATCCATCATGATTTAACAAATTTCTCGAATTTTGGCAAGGAAGAAGCTCTTATATCTTGCTATAACTTCATCCTTGCTTTCCTCTTTGTCTTTGGATGAAGAGAAGAAGAGGAGGAAACTTGGCTTAATTTAGCAATCTACTATATATTTCCATTTAGTAACTTCTTATAAGACTGTTTTGTTCAAGTTTCAAAATTTGGAATTTAAGGAACTAAAATACTAATAAATTCAAATATTAGGTGCATACCTTGAACTTTAAGAAAACCTACGAATGTCTAATATCTAGAAAAGAGGAGACTGTCTTGAGAAAAGAAAATGAAGTTGACAAAATATTTGGAACAAATTATTATTTTAACAATTTTTCAGAGGAATTAGAGCACAAGGATATTGATTATTCAACTACAGAAGATATTTTACCTCAAGATATGCGTATCGATTTTATGAGTCAGGAAACACTTGCCTTTGCTAAGAAACTTAACTTTTTTGGATCGTTTATCTTTGAGCATTTTGATTTATTTTCTATGAAAACTAAGAATAAAATTATTGCAAATTACATCAAACGCTCATTTCCAGAGAAGATGACAACTTTAACAGTCTACTCTGGTTCAGATCTTCTTCCAATAACTTCTCATGTTTTCAATATAATCATGAGGATCAACTCTAGAGTATTGAAGAAAATTATTATTCGCAATTACAAAATCAGTATCCACCAGTTTAAGAGAATCATGGCTTCATATAAGAATGTTTATGAAACACAATTCGGTGGTTGCAAAATCTCAGTCCCTACAGTCTTTGACCTTTCTCAATCAATGAGGAATACTAAGATCAATCATCTTGAATTTGTATTTTGAGGAAACCCTGAACTTTCCGATTGGAAGGACAATCCTCAAAAGTTTATCACCCTAATCCAATGACTAGCCACTTCTCCAGATTTTAAGTTAAGCATCAAAACAATAAGAGTTGTGTACTGTGGAATTGAAAGTAAAAAATGCAGACAAATTCTTGATGAAAATGGATTTAATGATGTTAAATTGTAGTAACAAATTGGCACACACCCTTGCACTTTCATCCTTTCCTTAAATATGGACAAATGAGTGGTTTTCAGATTTTTAATTGTAACTATACCACACTCAACTTCCACAATTAAATCAATTCAAAACTCTACAGCCAAATCATAATTTTCTCATCACTAAATATTCAAAATCTCCTAAAATAACCCAAATCTCACAAAATTACCATATCTCTTATCACACAACATATCAACACCTCTAACCCCAAATCCCCACCTAAAACACCATCCATCCTCACCTTAATCCCCTCAATCCCCAAAAACCCAATAAATCTCTTCTAAATAACTCCAAATTCTCTTCCTGAGCCAGTATTGAGCCACTGGTTGTTCACAGTTCAGAAATTACTTGTGAACAAGGGGTGGCCTTCTTGGAGTCCCTGGCTTTGGAGGGTCTGATATGGGTGAGGTAATAGGGATTATTGGAGAGGGTAAAATAGTTCGGTTTTGGTGGATAGGGGGTTGGAGGAGGAAATAGAGGGCGGTTTTTGGGATGAAGTTTATTGAATTTTCTTTTATTATGTTTTATTGTGTGGTTATTGGGGTTCTAGTAGGCTAAGGCTCTTTTATTATTACTAGAAAGAATAGGGGTAAAATATTATAAGAATCCTATCAGTGTAGTTCAAAGTCAAGCTAATACAGTTATAAATTTGCTTCAGAAACCAAGAGAGTCTGATCAGATTTTTAGCAGACGTAATATTATTTTATTCTTAGGATTCAAGCTTGGGCAATCTAATCAGCTGAATTTTAATAATTTCTCCTTTAAATATTTTGAAGAAAAAACAATAATCAGAGTTTAAGAATCCAGAAAGATTCGATTCCTTATCTCCTCACATTATATTAGCAGTTTTTAATAATTCTCATTTCTATATTTATCATTGATCAACATGGTGCGGTGAGAATACTTAATGGTCGAACTTGATGCATTTTATTACCTATTTCCTTAGTTTTGAAAATTGAGAAAGCCTATTTCATTTTCTACTAATTCTTATTCAATTCTTAGGCTATGGACTTGTATTCATATCCAACCATAGAGGAATTTCCCAATTAAATCAAATGAAATCAATTTAATCCGATTAATCCAATAATACCTCTATAAACACAAGTTTCAAAAACAATAATATTCCCATTTTAATTATCTAAAAACCTTCAAATCCTATCTCACCTATTAGGGGTTTTGGGGTTTTGGGGTTTTGGGG